TGACCCACATGTGTGGTGCTTGTTACGGTGGACACAGGACACTAGTGCAGTTGCTATACAACAAAATTGTTTTCTTCAGAAGAGAAATTCATGGTTCCACAACTCACTCCACCTCCTGTCTGCAGGGCAGTCCTGGGGTGGAGCTGGGGAGGCCTGTAGGATCAGACTGTGCAGCCTCCCAACCTGCTCTGCTAGACAACCCTGCTTGCAGGGACACCCACTGCGACCCCACATCCACAGGATACAAGGTCGCCATCTGTTTCTGCTGCTAAATTTATGCAAAAACAGGAATTGCCAAGGGAGGTGTCACATGTCTATAATCCCCGTACTTGGGTGGCTGAGGCAGGAGGATCAATACAAATTCAAGGCCAGCCTGAACCCTGTTTCAGAAAAAGAGCCAGTTTATTTCTCACAGCTCTGGAGACTGCGAGTCCAAGTGCATTTCTTTCTGCTGTTCAGATGGCACCTTGAACATGTGTCCTCCGGAGGCAAGGGATGTGGTGCCTCGTGCAGTGGATGAGCAGGACAGAGAGCCCACCCAGCCCCCATGCTAGGAGTAAACCCAGGCCCACCCTCACCAGGCAAGCATTCTGCTGTACTTCCTATCTACTTACAGAGACCTCACGACCCAAACGCTTCCCAAGGCTGTAGCCCTCGGTATTGTTTGCCATAATGAATTTGGGGACACATTCAGACCTCAGCTGTCACGCCAGATAAAGCATCTAGTTTGGTCTCTGCAAGTTTGGTGGCACACCTGTAATCCCAACAGGAGGCTGGGGAAGGTGGCTTGCCATTGAGTTTGATGCCATCTGGGCTACATAGTGAATTCAAAGTCAGCCTGAACTGCATAGACCCTGTCTCAAAAACATAAAAAGAGAAATTTGTCCACAAAGCCTTTGATGCCTCCCTCCCTTAAATGCAGGCAATTAGACTCACTTCCCAAAACTGTGACTTTCAAGCTGTACTGTGTCAACTTGAGAAGTTTAAAAGTTTAATTATGTGACTCAGCAGAGTCTTAGTTTGTAAACATTCTCATCCTGTGCAAGAGGAGGGCATGGACATTGTGAGTTCTATACCCCTCAGCCCAGGGTAGCTTGTTGATAATATAAGGAGGGGAGAGAGGCTGGCTAGGAGCTGCAGCTGCTGCCCTTCCTTTTGCTCTTCAATGTTTTCTGCTGCCATGAACAGCTGCCCTCTGCCATGTGCCACTCTGCCTGGGAGCCAGCCGAGTGTAGACTGAAACCTCCACAAACTGTGAGCTAAGTAAACCTTTCCTTAAATTTTGGTGTCATATATTTTGTCCCAGCAATGAGTAAAAAGCAACTGAGGCACAAGCAGCAGTTCACGCATCTCCTTGCTCTTATGATCGCTCACTCTGGCAGAACCAGCCCCAGACTGTGCCACACACAAGCCTCCCCACCATGGACTGTCCACATCCTGCCCACAGCCTCCTCAGGAGGGAGCCTCAACCAGCCAACCTCATATGACCAAAGCCTTGGCTGAAGTCCTAACTCGTGTACTCTAGTAAGAGACCCGAAGCCGGAGCTGCCCTGCTCCAGTACTCCTGGCTTACCAGAACTGTGGGATGACCCTCATGTTTTGTGACCTACTCGGGGTACTTTGTAATCAGAGATAGATGACTAATATACCTCTCACCTGCTTCCAGGAAGGAACCCCATCCACTCCTGCTTTTGCTTTTGTTAAGTAGAAGTGTAGTCAGTCTGTGAGGATTCCCTGCTCATACATAATGTTGGAGGCTCGACATGGTGTAGAACATTATCTGCTTTTCTGTGCTCACCAGCTCCCTCCTGTACAAGTTAAACTCCAAGCCAGGCACCACTGTCTATGCTTATAATACCACCTATTTGGGATGCTGAAGCAGGATCTCAAGTTCAAGGCCAGCCTAGGCAACTTAGCAAGGCCCTATCTCAAAATAAAACTCACCCCTAAAAAGAAAAAAAAAACCTACAAAAAATAGGGGAATGGAAATGGGGTTCACTTCCAGGGCACTTGGCTACCATGCACGAGGCCCTGGCTTCAATCCCTGGTGCTGGGAAAAGAGTACCAGCAGCAGTGGCAGCACTGGCCTGCAATCCGCCATGTCCCTGCAGGTGCCAGGTCCTGGTGTGCCTGTCTGCAGTGTGCACATGCAATGCAGGCCAGCAGAATTCCCACCTCACGAAAGTATGTCCATGAGCTTCCTTTCTTCTGCCACTCTTCTCTCCCGCAGATTCATAGTATCCCCATTTCTTCCCCACTGAGTCTCCTGGCTTCTGATGCACCCCCTCTCCTGGGACTGATGGCTGGTGTTGACTGGATCATGTGTCTGAGCAGGGGCAGTGCAGACCTCCAAATGTGCTCTCCAGAAGAGGAGCCCCACTGGGCACCCCTAGTGGCTGCTTGGGTCCCAGAGGACGGCACATCCCCGAGGTGAGGTGAGGTGTCTCCTTATTCTGTTTCTGGGCCCCATCCTGGGTCCAGATATGAGGCTGTGAAAAACTGGCTGCCCAATACCATAAAGCTCGAGGCTTGCTCTGACTCGACCTGGTCTCTTAGCAACAGGTGCCTGATGAAGACTCCTGGGCTAACAGGAAGCCCCTTAGGAGTGTTCTCCTTAGGAGACCAAGGCAGCTAGGAGCAGCAGCTATGGTGGAGGCCTGCCTGGGCCTCAAGTGGTTCTCCTGCCCAGACAAATGCAGGACACGCTAGCAGTTCAGCCAGTTTGGTTGGCTTTGGATTTTTTTCAGGCAGGGTCTTGCTATGTAGTTTAGGCTGGCTTTGAGAGCTCATTATGTAGTCCATGCTGGCCTCAAACTTGCTGGAGTCGCCTTGGCAGTGCTGGGGTTCCAGGTGTGTGTCACCATGCCTGGCCCACTTCGGCCATTTCTAAGCACACAGGAATTTCCCTTTGGTTCATGTGTGACTTCTCACTATGCAGATGACATGGGCATGCTACGTTAGGCTTTGGTGACAAGGAAGTTACCTTTGAGAAGGAACCTAACCTCAGCTCTAAAGTCCACTTCTCCTTTGAGTCCCACAAAAGCCACATGCGGGTACTGCTAAATTCTAGTCCTGCCCTTGCTTTCTCTACAGCCTGTCTTGGGAAGACAAAGATAAAAGTGACAGGTGCCTACTTCCCCCAAGGGCCTGCAGGGGCTCGTTACCCACCCATGCGCTCTGGCTGAACCCTGGAAGATCACCCGAAGTGTCCCTCAGATTTTGTTCTGATGGAAACCAAGGGTAGGAGAGGCTGCAGCCATTTGGTGTCTGGGGCCCTGGGTCATGAAAGAACATATTGTCTGTCCTCGTGCCAAGAAGGGCAGCAAGGACCCTGCCCCTGGCACCTGGCTATGGAGAAGGGATGGATTGGAGCTGCCATGAAGAAGAGTGGTGTTGCCGCAGTGACACCAAGGATCTTCCTATAGCCAGACAAGTGGACACTCTCAAATATCAGCCCAGGACATCTGAAAACCCCTGGGCTAAAGAAAGCTATTAACAGGAAAAATCTGGAGCTAGGCATCCAGCTGTCTGGTGAGGAATTTCAAGAATAGGTGGCATGCTGGGGCTGGCTTGGGAAACTTGACCTTGTCCTTCCATCACCTGAACCTATAGGGTCCTAAGCAACCCTAAGAGGGCTCCTGGGGACAAGCCTGAAAGTCCAGTGGTCAGGGGTACCAGAACAGAGGGCAGCGGGAGGTGCTAATACTCCAGAGGGCTCTAAGGATAAGGTGCTTCCAAAGCAGCTGCAAATCTGAGGGTAAGGACAGTAGGGCTGTCACCACACAGGGCCAGGGCTCTTTGAAGAACAAGCACTTTTGAGGTGGATTCACACTGCCCACAACTGCTCACAATTCTGTAGACCACAGTGACCAGCTTGTGGGTCCTTGCAGAGAATGCCTACCCCCAGCAGACCTAGGCTTGGCAACAGGCCTCCTCACGCCTGCACAGCCCCTACGTAATGACCATGGGTTGTAAGGCTGGCCCAGGGTGCCTACTTCAGTCAGGTGTCCTCAAAAGAAACCTGTGCCATCACATTAAAGAGTCCTGATGCTCTCACTCACAGTTCTGGACAGCTGTGCTGCACACAGGCACCCAGAGCTGGCCACAGTGACAGGGTGAGGGGCCCCACCTGTCCAGCAGTTCTCAGCGTAACTTTCTTTTCCACTACTGAGGACTGAACTCAGGTTCTTTGCACAGAACTAAACCCAGCCCTTGTTCATTTTGAGACAGGGTGTCATTACATCACTAAACTGCCCAGGTGGGATTTGTGGTTGTTTTTTGTTTGTTTGTTTGTTTGTTATATTTTAGGGAAGGATCTACAGGGTGTCCAGGGTCTCACCTGTAGTGATCCACCTGTTTACAGCTTCCCAAGAGCTGGGATTACAGCTGTGCGCCACCATGCCCAGTCTCAATTGCTATCTCAGTGTGCCCCAGGGGCAGGGCCAGCACAGCAGACCCAGGGATCAAACCCCTGGCCCCTGTGCCTGCTTGCAGGTGCTTTAATTCACTGAGATAATCAGGTGGGATTCAAACTTCAGCCTCCCAGGTACCCCCTTGCTGGGTCAACTCAATTATCCTCTGCTCTCCACCCCTGTATCCCCCCTCTGTGATGCCAGTCCCCAACAGAAAGACAAGCAGGGCTGGTGAGATGGCTCAGTGGTCTAAAGCACCTACTTAGAACAAGCTTAGCAGAGCACAGGGACCGCGGTTCAATCCCCCAGCACCACATGCCAGCCAGCCCCGCCCCCTGGTGGGCTGAGCTGGCCACACACACACACACACACATAAATAAATAAAAATTTTAAAAAAAAAGGCAGATGCTGTTGCTTTTGCTTAGTGGCTGGACTAGAGCTGCCTTGAAAGATGTGAGCTCATGTGACAGTGTGCTGACCAAGTAACCCAGCATGAGGACCTGCACATTTGTGCCACTGCCACTAGGTTTATTAAGGTTGTCACCACATCCACTAAGAGGGCCACCAAGAGGGGGCCCAGCCATGACTGGCCTGGTGTCTGAACTGGGAGACCATGTCTCACACCCTGACGGCTCCTCCAGGGAGAGCCCATGGTCTGACAGCCACAAGGACTGGACGCCCGGAGTGCGGAAAGAGAAGCATGAAGCTGGGGGTGCGGGGTGGGGCACAGCAGAAACAAAAGCTTGCATCTAGACAGAGTTGAACAGAAAACAAAACCCGACTGTGTTCTTGTGGCTGCAGTGTCCACTGTCCCTTAGCCGGACATCTCCTCCCGCTGCTCCTTGTTCCTGCGCACCTCCGCCGCGTGCAGCTCCTGCCAGGACAGGGTGCAGGGTGTGAAATTGTGGCTTGAGCGCCGCATGGCATGGCCTCCAGCCACTCTGCGACTCAGTTGTGGAGGTCGCCTTACCTGGCTGTTCTCAAACAAGATAGAGTCAAGGGGTGGAGGCTGACTAGGGACTCACACCTCAAGGGAGTGCTGGTGGCCAGAGAGCAGGGACCCGGCCAAGGGGCCAGGCTCGGGAACCTCCCTACTCCCACCGGAGAGCAGCTCCACCCCTCTTCCAGTTGGCTTGTGGGGTGTGCTCCTTAAGAGCAGTTCAGGATGTGGGGGTAGCAGGCTGGGTCACCGACTGCCCTACCGGCCGGCACCGGGCCTGTTTCCCAGCTGTTCTAGGCGGGTCGTGGTCTCGGTGGCTCCCTACGTGGCGCTGCTCCCCGCCCACCTTTTCGCGCAGGCGCTCACGCAGCGCCGCCAGGTGCGCCTCGCGGATCTCTCTGCTGAGCTCCATCTTGTGGTTGAGCTTCTCCTCCGCCTGGCGGCTGAAGTTGTTGTTCTCCTCCAGCGCCTTGTGCAGCACCTCGCGCTCGTGCTCCCGCCGCTCCGCCAGCTGCTTCAGCACCTGAGCCTCCTGTGTCTGCGCCAGGGGAACGGGAGGGAAATGAGGGGCCGGGCCCTGCTGTGGAGAGGCCGCCCCAGCTCCGCTCTGCGCCCGTCGCGCCGCCCCGCCCTGCTGCCCGCGGACCACGCGGGTGACCCAGAGCCCGGGCCTGCACTGTCCCACTGCTGTCGGCGAGAGTGACAGCACCCTCCCGGTTTGCCTGGACCTCCCTGGGCAGGAGAGCCTCTCGGCGCCAGGCGCACTGAGTCATGCCGCCCTTGCCCCAGAGCTGCTCATCTGCTGCTGGACACCTCTGCAGGCAGGCTCCGTCCTGGCCTGTGTCCTTCCCAGCGCGGAAGTGTTGACAAAGCACAGCAAGCTCGGGATGCTTGGACTTCCGAGGCCCTCAGCCCTGGTCCACACCGGGGCCTGACTCTCAGTCTTGGTGCACACCGGGGCCTGACTCTCAGTCTTGGTGCACACCGGGGCCTGACTCTCCATTAGGTGCTCAAGGAAGGACAATGGGGGCTCAGACTCCGAAGATGAGGAGGGTGGACCTCTCAGCACCACACTGCCAGGCCCTCCTAGAAACAAGGTTGCCTGCTGAGCTCTGGGAGAACAGGAGAGGCGGCTCCCGAGGGTGCTTGAGTTCCTCAGCCTCCTCTGAATGCTGTGGAGACCCCACTCATGCCCAGGGCCACCACTTAACTCTGAGAAGCCTTGGTCCTGTTGAGTCTGGCCTTGCTATGTGGGGGTCTCAGCTGTGTTACCACCCAGTGGGCGGGGCTGCGCAATCCCACCCTCAAGAACTCATCCCTATTTTGGTCTTGAAGGGACAGGTGTGTGTGGGGGGTGTAGAATAGGACCATGGCCCCAGCTGAAGGTGTTTAGATGTGAAGCCCTTCCTTCTTACTCCTCTGCTCTGCAAAATGGTGCCAGCCCCAGTCTTATGCACTGGAGACCACCCCCTGACCCTCCCCTTGCGATAACCAAAGGTGTTCCCCAAGTTGTGTGGCTCCTGTCTCCCTCCAGTGGGCACCATCTTGGTATCCATCCTCCCAATCTCAGGAGGAGAGCCAAGGAATGAAGCTTCCATGTCCCAGGTCAATGTCTGGACCAGCCCCCATCGGGGGAGCCTCATCATTAGTGGCCAATGAGGCCCTGACCACCTTCATCAGAACTCATGGGGAGAAGGGGCCTTGCCTTCCTCCGCTCCTCAGCTGCCTCCAGCCGCTTCCGCAGCTCCTCCAAGGAGGTGTCCTTCCTCTTGGGAGGAGAAGACAGCACAGGGCTCTCTGGGGATAGGTCAGAAGGGGACTTGAGGATGACCTCAAAGCTCTGACCAGAGGCTCGCTTGTCCAATTGTTTCACCTCCATGTCTGCAAGACAAGACCAGATCAGGCTTCAGAGAGTGGCCAGAGGATGGTGACAGGGTGACAGCCTGGCTCCAGAACACAGCCCAGTCAAGGACTAAGGGAGGAGTTCAGCTGTTCAAGGGGGTTCCGAGGTCTGGCTCCCTCCTCCCAGAACCTCCCTCTGCAGAAGCCAGCCAGGCCCAGGTGCTCCAGGGGATCCCGAGGTGAGAAAGGTAAACAGTGCAGGGGAGGCAGCAGTGTGGGTGCACTCACCCCCATACTGATAGATGGTGTTGGGATGAGGCTGTGAGTAGAAGCAGGAGCAGATGAGAGACAGCACAGAGAGCTCCTTCATCTTCTCCTTGTATGCTGTGGATATGAGGCCAGGGTGAGCACACAGGTTGACACCCCAAGGCCCTAGGCCTTCCCACTGGATCCTACCTTCCCTCGTGCATCCTGGCCTCTGATGGGTCTCCCAGGGAGACACAGCGTTGCACTATGTAGCTCCATCTCTGACTTCTCCTCATTTCCTGGGGCTCTGACTTGGGTGCTTAGGGTGTGCCTTGCACCATTCTCTGTACTTCTGTCTCACTGTGTCTCTACCCTTCCTTGACCTTTTTCTCTCTTGGCCTTTCTGTTTGTCTCTATCTCTTGTTTGTGTGTATGTGCATGTCTGTCTCACTCTTCTTTCCCATTGCTCTTTATCTCTGTCTTTTGTTCTATATGTTTCTTCTTGCCTCCTGAGGTGTAAATATTTGTGTCCTCCTAGAATTCACATGTGGAAATCCTACCTTCTTGTGCTGGTGCCAGGAAATGAGTGAGTCATGAAAGTGAGCCCTCCTGGGGCTGGTGAGATGGCTCAGTGGTCTAAAGCACCTACTTAGAACAAGCTGAACAAAGCAAAGGTGACCACGGTTCAATCCCCCAGCACCACATGCCAG